ACGGAATTTGTGTTGAACAATGAAAGAGACGTGAAGGGACTTTGATTAATAACTCAAAAATAGCATTTCAGCTGTTACCCCATTTAATCCTCAACCAAATTTCCCACACTATACCGGACTGTGAGCTAAGAAGAAGAAATAAAATACATTTCAATTACAGTGAAGAAAAGCTGATAAGGATGAAAATGGTAGTAGTCGATTGGTCTGTCTTCATTATTCCGAACCTCGTGGAGTCCCGTTGGCATGAAATTCATTAACTTCTTCCTGAAGTCATTTTTTGTTTTATTTCATCACACTTTGACTCCAATTTCCAATGTGCAGTTGGCCTTTTGATTTCTCGCTTTCAAACAGAAAAGTTTTCATCCCAATACGATCCAGGCAATATTACGTGGAAACGTAATAGATCGAACATTGGAGGTGCGTGTCGCTCCTAAAGTTCAGAAGTGAACAATGAGAAAAACAACCAGCTTAAATTAATACCAACCTCTGGTGAAACGTGGCACGGAGTATTGTCCTGGAAAACAACGTTTTCAACAAGTGGTTTCAACCGAACAAGTATAATGGTCAGGGTTTTAGGAGATAACGTTGGATAAAGGATTAGACCCGTCTCATCAGATATCTTGTATTTGCACACCTTGCCAGCTCTTCTTATTCAGAGTTTGACTAGCTTTACCTAGGCGATCAAGGTTAAATATATGCAATTATCAAAAGTGCACGCTGGAAATGACCAAAGAGAAGTGTGAACTACAAATATTTGGAATTTTCTGAAGCTACCATGTAGTCATTGTGTGAAAGAGAACTTCAATTACGGAAGAAGATTTTTAAATGCCACACAATCTGCTTTTATCGTACTAAATGTGTGGTAAGGACTCGGTGGTTGAATCGTTATGGCTATCAAGAGCTGTGTCGACAAGCCGTTACATCCACCAGCCTGAAAACCACATAACACAGAAAACTTAGAGCAGAACAATCTGTTTGAAGACAATTGAAAAAAAATAGAATTAGTTTATACGGGGAAGTCACGCCTTTTTTGAAAAAATACCGGTTTTAAATGAATTCATTTACGGGCAGAACAAAAGAGACATGGACCGTTGTAAATGTGATGAGCACACCTTGATTGAACCCGATATCGCGGTTTTGGAGTATCTTAAACGAATGTCAGTTGCGAATGAAATCACGGCCTATTGACCCCCTGGCCCCGAAAGGGGAACAGGTAATTACGAGTACTGATTTGCTTCGCTATTGGTGAAATAGGCCGTTTGGAAAACTATTTGGAAATATTGCCGTGTGATGAGCATCAACTTTCTTCAATACTAGACTAGATTTTATAAAACAACATGACACTTGCAAATTGGAAGCAGAACAAACATAATAAGAAATGTCAATGGTGACACGGGCTCCGGCCAGCTTTTGCGAAAACACGGATTGACGTTAACCTATCACATGGTCACAAATCTGTTCCCGAGAAACAAATAAACCAGGCATTTTCAGTCAGCCACTAACATTGCCAAAATATTTCAGATGCTTCGTCGATAGACGACGACGGAACAGAGAGCACACAGTTTGTTGAAGCATTCAAAGTGGATCGATGTATGCAATATGCGAATATCTTAACAGTAAAGGAATAAACTGAGCCATAGACACAATCAGCTATCTTAGAATGAAAAGAGAGGCCACAAGATGGGATCACCACTCCGGTACTTTGGTGTAGACAGACAAAATGTGAGCGATGAACTGGGACTAACATGACCTAATAAACAAGATAATGATAGTAACTGCACATTTTTATTGAAAGGCTTGATTACAATAGGCCATGTGAATCATTTTTTCAATTAAGCTGTTCTTCCAATAATTCTATTAATAACATCAACGATCACATTTACTTTTTGCTGAATAGATGATCAAAAAAGAGGATTTTTGAAGAGAAAATCGTTAAGTGCGGGGTTTACCATAGAACTAGTGGTGATACAGGACATGGGGAAAGAGGACAGATAAACTGTATCAATGGCTATTTGTGGAAAAACAAGTATTTCGATTAATTGTCACGAATCGTCAAGAAAGTGAAATAACTTGATCGAGGATATCCCCGAACGATCACCTGCTAAATCAGCTGTTGCAATAACCAAAGAAATCATCATATCTCCGAAAGTATGCCACAAGACGCATCTATTAGTACTACTACCGCTCACATGCGAATGGTTTAGGTATGTGCTTTTTGCAAAATGTAACAATTCAACTGCTCGAGAAGGATGGACCGTGTGCCGGATAAACTGCTTCTCCCTCGCACATTCTCAGTCGCCAAAACCGCTGTTGCCCAAGGTGGAAATGCTTCCGGAGAAAAACCGTATAGGGGCAACAGATATAAAAGCATCCAGGCACTTTACCCAAAATAGCATATCAGTGCATTAAATCTAGCTCAAATTAGGTTGCATGTATATATGCTTCTGTCGATGAACCACGCCAAAAAAGTGCAATAGACATTTTCTCCAGAGTTTGATCCAGAACTTTACAGCATAAAGAAAACAGAGGAAGTATTCACCAAAATATAAACGGGAAGAAACAAGGTATCCTCCTCGGAGGGCGCAAAATCCGTTCGAGTGTATTCTCGGATGATTCCATCTACGACAAAGTCAAACAACCAAATAAATAAAAACTAAAAATACGTCTTTTTACTTCCTTTTTCATTTATTGAATATACAAATCTATAGTCGACTTTCAGGAAGGGGACCGCGGCTATATAAAAGCTGCCCGGGAACATAAAGACATGAGAAAGACGAGCGGCAGTGGAAAGGTTGGAACCCGAGCCAAAACTTGGCCACCATCGCCCAGGCAGTACTTACCACGATTAGTGAAACAGAATAAGGCACAAAGCCTGAAATAATTCATCAATTGCATGAAAATAAAGGCTATTCATGGTGAAACGGTATTCGAAAGGCAAGTACACGAATGTCGTATTGATTGATGGCAACCGGATGGATTATATATATTACGTTGTTGAAGATGGAATGAACCATCCCGGAACGATGCGGTTTTCACGGTGTGCATACACCCTGACAATAGTTATTAATGCAACAAACAGTTAACGGTCGATAGAAATGGTTTTAAACAACACGACTAATCTTTGTCTATGGAGTTCAGTCAGTGCAGCCAATCAATCGACGCCTGAGTACCGCGTCAATTCGCTGTTTCTCAGCCAACCGATGAGCGATTGACGTTGACGTCTCCAAGTAATAAGTTCAAACGAGCCCGAAAAATCATCTGGCGGATGATCCTTGTGATCAAAAGGTTCAGGTTATCTAAACAAATAGTCAGAGTTCGAATCCTGCACTGGTGACCATCTACCCTATTCATGTTTTTCCCGGGAGCCCTCTAATCAGCCAAAGTCAACTTCTTGAAAATCGATGGTAAACTTGTATATTTGATACACCTACAGAGAGGGGAAACGCTGTAATATTAGAGTATATTCTCACGGGGCCGTTCCATTGACTAATCGCCAAATCCTATTTGGACCGTTCCCCGAAGAGATCAACAATTCATGTCACTGGGTGAGAACGTGTGTTTTAGGCTATTCGTTTGTGTATAGAACAAACAAAGCGTGAAATAATAACCGAAGCACAAGGTAGTTTATGAATTTTGAAATCCATTTGCTCATAAGAAAAATCCTTCATTACTTTCATGTAGAAAGCACTTTTCCAATCGGAAGTAATATTAAGGATGAATGTAATTAGGGTAATTTCCAACAGTGAAAAACGTTTATGCAGCTCATTTGACAATAACCGGTACATAAGTTGCTCTGGCGTTCCCCTTCCATTTGTTTCAAAGGGGACAATGAACTCATTCCAGAGTGAGTAAACCTTAAGGAACCCACTGGCGAGAGTAACAAAAAAGCTATGATGAGTGTTTCCGCCAGATTATCTCACGCAGATTCATTCACTATTGCTCCCAGAGCAGACTGCTGCTTAAAAGCTCTATCCATGGTTCCCTCATCGACGCGAACCCCACGAGGCATGCAACGTTCACAATGGCTACAAAATGGGACAGTTGTTGAAGAGACAATTCCTAAATCCCTTTTACTTGTGCTGTTAAACTAAATTTACACCGGGAAGTATTTTATAAGAGCTCAGTTTGAAACACCTAACATTTATAATTGATGCTGTTAAGAAGAAATAGATTCACATGATGGAATAAGATCAAAACTAAGGAGGGCTACTTGACACTTATGCATGGCCACCAGTCATTGCCTTCAACCATTAAAATTGTTCACTTCATAAAGATACTACTGGGGATTTGTTAGTAGATTGTTAGCACGAATAAAATAGTGAGAGAATAATTTGATTCCGCTATGGCCATCAACCTTAACAATCCCACGCAGGGCGTTTGCGAGTGGGTATTTGGTAGTTTCATTTACGTCTCCGGTTGACGAATAGCAGAGATAGAGGGAAGTAAATCCTACATGCACGAAAACTTATTGTCCTGCTGGTTTAGATTAGCTACCATGGTGTGATATAAAACAACATTCTATCAAACACGATATGAAAAAAACGAATACAGCGAAAGTCAGTTGTGAATGGGGATACGAGAAGTCACGTTTTTTGTCGCATAAGTGATCAGGAGGAACACAGTGGAAACAGGATAGCTGAACCGAATAGACAAACAAATTCACGGTAAATTAATTTCACTGAAAATTAGGTGGACGTGTTTCCAAAAGGAAGAAGTGTGACGAAAGGAACATAACAAATCGAGGATGTTGGGAGTTGGACGGGAGTGGAATGAATGAACCGATCGCTTGCATCAAATAGAAAAGGGAACATTATGTAGATAAGATGGATTCGCATTACACTTCTGGGGTCAGATAATAAATTCTGTCCGGACGTGATAATTCAATAAAACCAGTAATGGAATGAAAGACAAGAGATGAGATTAGGGTGGTGAGTCAGTCTCGACAGGGGTTGAATGACGTAAACAAGAATGGGTGTATGGGATTGATGATAGACATATTTTCAAGACTCCACATGCCGAATCCGAGAAATAACTTCGTTCAATTCGCTCATAAAACAGTTGGGATATTGGGCTCCAACTGCTTGGGAGGTTGCGTTAACATTAGACGGGGAGACGGGTGCACTGGACTGACTAGAGAAACGTTTGCATATGTATGTAGCCACGAGATCCTTCGAGGGACGCTCCGCAACAGCCGGACTGGGTTTGTTTTGAACAGGTATCCCCACCGCAGTCTGGGGTAGGTGTTGTTCGTGAACTATGCATAAAAGAAACAATACATTAATCGGCGCGTGAAATTGTCGAAGTGTTGAGAATTTGCCTTCCGAATTAAAAAAAACTAATCATTTCATTGTGATTATATCGTATAGGTCCGATGCAAAATAAATCCAAGACAATAGAATGTTAAATAGTATAAATAACTAAGTATACACCAGATTTCTTCACGCTGATACGTTGTTGGGAACTATTCTAACGTACAACCGTTTCCTTGTAGCACTACCCATCGTACCGATGCGAATCAACCTGTCTGACAAAAAAATGGGTGATCAATCAAAGACAGTCACAATAGTTCCTTTTTTTCTTCAAACTCCATTGAGGTCCTTTAGCTTTATTCACAGTTTGTCTTGTTTTAGCTAATGGGGTTCAACCCAATGGTACATGTCTTAAGAAACAGGCTGTACTACTATTCACCAGTCAAAAAATCATGAACTAAAATTTTGAAGAGTAAAGCAGCAACAAATCTCTTACAACGAATGAAAAGATACTCACAAATAAAGAACGCTGGTGGTTGGTTGACTCAACACTTGGTTACTCAGTGAATAAATCGATAACAAGGCTGAAAACCATATGTGAAGGCTAAAACTCCGTGGATAAAGATCAAAAACCCATAAACGACGGCTTAAGAACCATGATTTTACGTCAGCAAAAGAAAGGAACATGCAACACATGTTTATCCAATCCTACTAACAACTCGTGCCGTGTTTCTTCATGTGGTCTAGCGTATGTGAAGCGTTATAATGGAATCATCAAATAAATTACTGTTTCCCATCCTTCGTCGTCATACAGCTTAGCTACTGCCTGACTGTCCTTGAGGACGATATCAGAATAAACTTCACTCAGCTCGCACTGAGTGTACGAGCTAAGTTGCACGCACGCGCTCCCAAGCACGGGCTACGTGATTCAACCCCTCAATATGCTCTGTGCGAAACTCTAATCGGGCGTTTCCTGTGGAAATGATGATGATGATCCACATTAGTGTACAATAAGCAAAACGAATGAAAGATAACACACCCACGCGGCTTGAATCAAATTGATTTGGAAATTGGAAAGCGAGATGACTGGTGCGAAAAATCAGCAGCCGCGTTAGCACGAACATCCCTATTACGCATGAGATTAGCGAAATGACAAAACCCGGTAATTCTATCTTTTTTATCAGTCGCACGAACTGTCTCATTCCATCTGTAAGGGTCATTTGTGCAACTTGAGACCACGAACAGCTCGATTCATAAGCCGGTCACAAACGGATCAAGGTCAATCCCGGATCAATGTTCGAGATTAAAACTACGAACAACTATGGGTAAAGCAGTATCTGTGTACGTGTGAGTAAATGAGTGATCGGGTTGGGGAGGGAGTGTTTCGCGTGGATTCAAATGTAGTTGCACCGGCAAGCAAAGAACTGCATGTGAAAAAGCAAACCACGGCAATCGATTCAGACAGTCCACCAATTTTCGGAGCATAGCAACCAGATGGCGGCACTGCGTGCCCAAACCGACAATGTTCAGACAAATCAAATGTGGCCCGTATCGACACCTCGTCATTCTGGTGAAATGGCTACACTGAGTGAGGTGACGATTTTAGAGTGGTTCAATTTGCAGTTTAAGGTTTCAACGTTCTTGCGTTCGTCAATGTTGCACAATATTCACAAGGATTTTTGTTGTTCTTTTGATTCCACTCTTGACAACGCTTCTCCACTCACCGTGTCAACAAAAATGTTGTGTTGGTCTTTGGAACGCTTCCAGTATTTACACACAGTATTCCCCTGTTCTGAAGACTTAAACCCGAAATAAGGACGTCCACCTTTTGCACCAGCTAAAAACAAAGTCACACTGCTTTATCGATTGGTGGGTCAGGCCATTTTCGAACGCTGTGTGTGGGCCTTTACAACCTCTACTGCCCGCATCACAGCAGTCAATCAGACTGATAATAATAAGCTTGTTTTGTGCCCCATCGTCCAACACCGACGGAAAATTACCTCAGTTTCTCATTTGTTCTCAACATTCACATAAACGGGGACACAATGAGGCAGCAAGTTAGCTTCCAACCAAGATTTGCCCTCCTTAGCAGTCTGCAACCGACAGGACTTTGTCAATGCTCCTTGTATCTGATGTTTTGAAGAATGAAGTGACGATATCAATAAGGGCATTTGTGTATTTTATGGTTTAGTCACTGAAGGTGTTAGCGGGGTAGTGTCCATTGCAAGATGCGCCATCACAGAGGTTGGCATAATGATAGGCTTGTACGTTCAAAAGTGGCGACTCTATGCCGGTTGCGCTTTTACACACGCGCAACACTAGACTCTCAGATCAATCAGAAAGTACACAAATCCAAATTATTCGGAGGAGGAAGGCTGAGCTAACGTGTTCCTAGTTGAGTGAAAAAATTCTCAACCGGTAGGTAATGTAACGGGAAAGAACAAACACGGTGATGACACCTGCATACAAAGGAACCTGTGCGACTGTTCCATCAGATGATGATTGGATTGTTTCGGGAGTAGAGTAACATGTAAACAGAACAACAGCAATCAAATTGATCAAAAGACACCCGAAATGCAACGGGAACAGTGTATTGAAAAACTGCGAACGCTTTCACAAGGCAATCGAATCAAACAGCAAATTGTATGCTTAATTGCTCATCATAATGAAATGTCCGATTGTGGCAGAAAACACCGATAATCACAGTCTCGCGGTTGCAACCAGCAAATCAACATCCGACTCAGATGATCTATTGCGCACAGATGCGATTTGTTTTGTGTGTGTGTGTACATAACACCTAATGTGTTAGACATCGCAGCTCAATGTATAAACATATGGATAGGTTTGCTTAAGGTTGTATGATCAAATGAATTGTGCAATGGTGCAACTAAATGAACAATGTAAATAAGCAATCTATGCAATCCGAATGTGATCATGAGAGATCACTGCTCTCCGGGCGGAAGGTTTGGCACAATTTAGACAGGGAAGCGATATCACATTGGGTTTAAGGAGTGCAAAAGAAAGGGAAATTGAAGGAGCATAAAACCGGGTTGAAATACGGAGATATATAAATGCCTTCTCTTACTCCATTCCTCTGACTGAAAGTAGATCATACGTGAAAATAGAGAACGAGGAACAAAAAAACAGACGAAGAATTATCACCTTATGGCACACAACCCGCCTGCATACAGAATATACAGTTAACAAATAAAGTACCACTAGGATAACGAGAGATTTACATTATGTGATGTCGTTTTTTTCAACACAAGTACTCAGTCACGTGCAAGTCAGATTTACGCTGATAATCAGCGGCGATTGCGAGATACCAGTAAACCTTTAAACTGAGATTAAATTTTTGACATAAGAACTAACTGGGTGGTGATACCCGTCATTTGGGAGGACGATGCGGAGGCAGATGAGCGAGAGATTGAATAAAGGACACAAACTATCTCATAATATTTTGGCACTGATTTGATCTTTATTGTGATTGAGATATACGATTAATTAATAGGGGCATGCAAATACGTTTCCGAAATCAGGAACAGATTTGAAAAACTGGCGGATCAAATTCAAGCATGCATGCGCGAGCTTATTGTAGTCTGTATTTTTGAACTTCACCATCTATGTCTGACTTTCTCGCTTTCTCAATAACTATCTCTGATTGACTGTGACCCCATACACGTGTATTAACTGCACATCAAACAAAAGGGAGTAAGACATTATTATATCATATAATATCTGATCACCTTACGCGGACGAGTAGCGAATGAAGTTGCCGTCATGTGTCAGCATTCAATGATAGAGATGAGTACCATGTAACGAGGTTTATTGGTGTGACTAATGAAAAATCGACACGATACAGCCGTCCAGCGTACAAAACGATAGCCGTCTCGAAAAGTTTGATTCACATATCGTTTCAGTGTTGGTAAATAGAAAAACTGTAGACGATGATGAGTAAGGCCTCCATTGGGCCGATGTCACTTGTTAAATGGTAACCGATTATTGAAGAAGCTCGCCACTCACGGGTTTAAACAATTATGATTTGTGACTGCAGGCAAATTGCAACAATCGTAATTCAAACGGAAACTATCTACGCTACATGAACTCGGTACTTCGTCTGGATGGATTACTATTTGCAGGAGCAAACAAGTACTGGTTGAAATAACACATAAAGACGTGGTTTTCGGAGCGATAGCAGAACAGGTTTATGGTTGTTTAAGTCGGAATAACGGGTGCTCATCGTAGATAGAACATTTCTATTAACACCCAAACTGACACAATCGATGATTTTGATTGGGGCAGAGTTGAAACACCAGCCAATCGGCACTTCCTTCCTTCGTTGCGATTTCCGAAATCACAAATCGTTCACGGTACAACCGAGGTAAAACATTTTCTTCGCAGAATTTATGAGGTCCCTAGGGCACATTCCACTATTCATGATGGAATGAACTGTGAAAGCACTTCGGTCGGTGTTTACATATATATTGCATAAACTAGACCGACAAGGGAAAGGATCAATGCTCGAACACTACTACTACGCTGAATCACACGAGTCTGGTGCGATAAGCAAGACTGAATGAACAGTACTAAGTAGCTGTGGTCCTCACTGAATGCGGTGGCCGGGAATGTATTATGCATGATATCGAATAAGCTTCCTCGGCGTGGGATATTTCAGAAGGCTGGTAGTGATCAAGCTATTATGACATAACGGAAATGAAAAAGAGAACCTGGTCGAATGAGTAGCGTTCGGTTTCTTTAGTAGAGGTAGAGTGACCAACAATCAATGGCTTAAGACACGGACTGATTTGGCTGGATACCATAACCGACGGTGTTCTGGTATTCACTCAATGTCCGAGACCACCCAGTCTACCAGTATTCTGTATTTTGGCATCACTCTACCCCAAATGGGTTACCAGGAGGCAGAAAATAAATCCGGGGCACGAAAACGAAAGAGCATTTGCTGTAGGACTTAGGATGGGTTGAACTGAACAGCGTATGACACGTAAGTAGGTAATCCCTGAAGGTTTGATATTTGAGATGATCTATGACTGGGCGGACAGTAAAACTCAAAAGCATTATGGGTCACACATAAATCACCTACCAATCACATTCTCGGAAGTTTGCATGGTGTCCAATTTCTCCTCTTCAGTCTCATTTTCTGTGTTCAAATCGGATGGCAAAGACGATCTGTGCATTCTGGTCGAGCGCTCAACTACATCCTTCATGGGTTTTATGCTTGAGTTCCGAGCGACATTCGGCGATCGCAAGGTTTCCAATTTATTCGCCGTCTCCGACAACCAGGGCTGAATAAAAACGAGTAAGTTTCACATGCGAAACCAATGAACATAATAAAACATTTGAAAATATCGAGTTTTCAGATACACAGTTTGGTTGACTACCAACAGATTATCTCAACTGACTTTTCTATCGGTTGGTAGATAGCATATAATTCCAATTCAGTGGAGCATCGTTCAAACAAAAGGATAAAATAGTGATAGACTCAAAATTGGAAGCTTTAATGACGGACATTTTTATGCCTAAACTTGAGAATCACGTGATTGCTAAATTTTTAAAGAATTTACCATATGTTCATGTGATATATATAGGTGACAGCTTATGTGTCTATGACGCTGGCCAAAATAGACTCCTTAAATTGGAAAAGGAATCCTTGAGTGACTCCGTGGCCTCAAAAATGCGCCCGGATGGATCAACTGACTGAACCATTCGCCGCAAGAAACCATACAGGAAATTATCCAAGTTTCCTTCCGCTACATCAAAAGAACTCCATTCTCTGTCTGACCAATAGATCTATAACGCTGTGCTCCACACCCAGAATAAAGGGCCAAAATGAATATCCTGAGTCACTCAAGCACAGAAGTATGATAACCTACCTAACCAAACCAGTATACGAAATACTGAACAACCCGACGTTTACTCCTACATCTCGACGATATACAGTAGCGGAACCATTAAGTAGGCAACTTAAACGATCTATCTGAGGCATAAGTATCGGAGTTGAACCCTGTAGTCTGTTTATTGACAAGCCAGATCTCTTCTTGATTCGAGGGGTCAAATGTCAATGGATGTAATCTTAGTATGTGTCCAGGTCCCAAACTGCTATTTCTCGGTAACCAAACCATCCAGATTATTCAGTATGATGATATTGCAGCTCAATTCTGTACAGAGAAACCAAACGAATGTGGATTACAACTTTGAAAAAACTGATGTATTGTAGCTAATCTACTCCGGAGCGTTCGAAAGCCTCAGTATGGTTGAGGGTGTGTCTCGGGTTGTGACTGGTCACTCCTGAACCTCTCAAAATGGTCCTATACGACGAAGCTTAAATAATAAATAAATAAATAAAATGTCTTTTTACTTCCCTTTTTGTTTCTTTTATTAGACACCAGTGTGATGAACGGCAGGCGGAGCGGACCCCATAGTCACGAAGACCTGCTGTTCGGTGATGGTAATCGGCAAACTAAGTCTCGGGACTGAGAGTGAAGAAACACATAAGGCTCCGCTAGGTCAGGCGTGGTATAGAACCGAACGACAACAAAGCTGCCTAGCACCGAAGTTAGGTGGCGGGGCTCGAACCTCGGAGCACAGGGTCCAAAGCACGTCGCTGACAGCGACTAAACCACCACAAATGTACAGTCAGGAAGCAGGGCCGCGGCCATACAAATGCTGCCTGGGAAAATACAGAAATAGAGAAGACGGGCGGCGGTGGAGCGGGTCACAAGTTGGTGAACTAAGCACTTGGCCACCACCGCCCAAAGGGAACGGCCGCAACAACCGGTATTCCCAGGCGGTCACCACGTAAGTACTAACCGGGTTCGACCTTGCTTAACTCCCGTGATCAGACGAGAACCGGTGTTTCCAACGTGGTATGGTAGCATATATATATATAATCTCCTGAGGAAGCCCTACTTGCTTAATTCCATCGGCCGAAGTGTTTTTCTACCAAAATGAGGACGAAAACCAACATTCGTGGCTATAACTGGGTTGATGAGCCACTGAAAAATGAGACAATGGATACGGATATAGGCCAACCAAAAGGAGGCGTATAAACCACAGACACTAATACCCTCCTGGGTGTGGTAGTGATCACAAGTTCGATTGGATATCGAGGAGTATTGCGCACCTCGGAAGTTTCACGCTGTCCAAAAGGTGTATGATCCGATGATCTGAACACCGACCCCCAGTTACTTGCATGTTTTACACACCACCACATTGCCTTCCGGGTCAGGTTCTGGCCAGTCAAAAGCTCCCGTGAAAGTTCACCTTCTTTGGTCAGAGCAGCCTGGCAGTATTCCACCTACTAGTGAATAGCGGGGCTTTCACTTTTTAAAAAGACTATTTTACTGTGATTCTTTTAGCACACAGTCTGGACGCCGACACGTATTGAAGTATGAAATATGTGTCCCCAGGGATTCGAAGTCTCATTGGGCCTACTCCAGGAAAATGTTGGAATATCCAAGACGTCGCAAGATATACGGACCTTTTCAACTCAAGGTTGAAACACAACTCTCAGGCATGTTTCCATTTAGGATCCGGACTGTTTGAACTTCCATATTAGTTAAACAGTGCTTCGTTCATGGACAGCGTGGAATATCTTTCCATACGTCTAAACCTAACGTCGGAAAAGAACCCTTGGCATTTTCAATTTGGTTCGCATCTGGAATACTGAGTTATCGCTCTCCTTGATGGGAACGCATCGCTCACGCGAGGGGCACAGTCTTTGGATTACAGTTGATCAACCAGCGAATCTTTATCGGCTGTCATGCATTTCGACCACCACGGTTGTCCGACACCCGTGCCAGTGAAAGTTCCGAACCGAGAAAGGCGTAGTCCTTCTTGAAAGATGATGAAGATAAGAAATCGATCGAAATTATGAGCGCAATCCTACGCAGCTATATAGACTTGCGTGTGAACCGGTCTAGTGGAATGCGGTTTTCACTATTCTTGACTAGAGGTATGTTATTAAAGAAACTCATACTTCCATGCATATGCCCTAGCAATCGAATCATCCGGATTAATCGATTTGGTATGGCGGCAGTGGACATCATCGTGACGTAGGGTACATGGGTGGTTCGAATTTCCTCTGTGCTGAAGGAGCCAAATTTCAAACAGGCCACCTTGCGCTGAGGTTTTGGCTAACACGTGAACGAACTTAGCTCTGTTTATATATTGTCAAGTCAAGTCAAAGTAAACTTTATGCATTCGGAGGGTGGATTTTCAGCGAGGGTCAAGGTAAGGTGTAACCTCTGGTAAACAGTAGACAATGTGTGCCACCATATAAACGATTTTTCATTGACGGAGGGCCCAGTTAAGGGGAATAGATTACGACTCGATCACGAGTGAGTGTAGGTTTTGGCATACAGACCAAGAGGGGAGAGGCTGAATCAAAGAAAACTGAGCAGTTCACAAATTTCTTGCCAAACCACCTGGACAAGGCTTGGGAAAGCCTCGAGGATAAAGAAAAACAGGCATGGGAAAGAGCGGAAAAGAGTGGCAAGTACTGTCTGGAGCAAGGTGATGAATTTCGTGAAGTGGAATTAACAACTGAATCGAAAAATATCAATGCGTTAGAAAATTACTACAGTAACTTGGAAAACCCATCGAACACGGTGCACAAAAAGATGAAAACCTACCACGACAGTGAGTAAAGCACCACACTGTATGGAGTTCAGAACAGAACAGTTATTTCTAGAGAATTCAGTCTGAATGGTACACAACAGCTGCTATAGTATTAGCACAATCTAATTCCAGATTGTGAAACAACCAAATATGCACCTTCGTGTGGTTGTTGTATTTGCAGTTTTGTGGTTACTCCTTTGGATAAAGGAGTAGAGGGAAGATTGGAATGCCTAATGCACTACAATGTCCATGCTGACACTCACGCAGCGCCTCTAAACGTCAATTACAAATATCTCGAGGTCTCCACTCAGGGAGCCTCACGCGATCTACACGACCGAGTCGTTCGGTTAGGATTCTCATAGCTCCACATCTTACCTTAGTTTGACCATGCTTGACTTTTTTACTCATTACCTGTCCCGAAAGTAATCGTAGGTTTAATTATGTGTATACATGTACTAAAACGTTGTCAGTGGGCGAAATGATGTATTATGGCATGAAGTACAAATTCTGCTGGTGGAAAATATCTGATGACAATCGTAGAACGCATCGGAATAGCACGATCTTACGTTGAATAGTATGCACTGGCCATCTCCATTGAGAGAGAGAATGACAATAACTTAATTTTCGATTCACATCTCCCATTCTGCAAAATCATGACTGTTGTTCTGTAACAGCACAATACTTGTTTGACCGTATCATAATGGGTTAAATCCCATTGTGAACGTTTGAGACAACCTGAGTGGACTGATTTCTGAGGGAGAACGAGTGTTTTTTGTCACACTGTTGTGGAGCTGCAGAGGAGGTGATTGCATTTGTGAAGAGAACAGTTGATTCTCACGTAATTTGGGTGGAGCACAAAGTGTTTCACACAATCGGAAAGCATTTCACACAACTACCGAAAGCGGAGCATCCAATATCACAATCACCTTTGTTTTTAGCATGCACTCGGAATCTTTTGCAACTGATCAAATCAACACCGGTTGAATGAAGTGAAAAGTGGGTAAATTTCGTACACTATATGAAACGAGTTGTAGTTGACCGCTCGAAAACGATTTCACCTTCAACACAGTCTAAAACAATACCACTGTGAAACATATCAAGTGCCTACAGAAAATAAATACAGATGTAAAAATAGATCAACCCTGGAAAACTTGTTTTGAAAATTTAGTCTCGTCTAAATGTGCCTAAATAGGACATTAATTGAGCATTTATTCATCACTACGTTTCCTATGTTGAAACCAGGAAGGGGAAAACACCAATTTGACCACATTGGACTCACCACAATCGTCAAATGATCCCCGTTCTGCTCGGTCCCGGAGAACCGAACCGCTTTGGCCAGCATTGAGTCGGAAAGACCGTTTAATTTGGACTGTGCAAGCACTGACTCGATGCACGGTTCGTGTCCCGTGCGAGATTTCACTCGCGCTCGGGGCAGTGTATGCGCTCGAAATACTTCTATACCCAGCTGAGGACATTCGACCAGAGTCCGTGTACGGGTGGCGGTACAGAATCCGATTGATGTGGCTGCGGAGAGGCAAATAAGACAGGATACGTTAGTTGTGTCAGATTCGGGTATAAACTGCGTTGACCTATCATAATTTATCTCTTTAAAGAGGGGTGGGAAGAGAGTTATGACAGCATGGAATTCAACAGTTCACCCATGTTTCACTATTACTATACAACCATCTCACCGAATTGGCAACAAGGTTTGCTTTGAAACACAAGATTATAGATTACTTCTCATACAGCTCAGTGTAACACACTGCTGAATTTTAATGGCGTTTAGTTAGTATCACCAATCATAATGGATTACAGAACTGGTATCAATACCATGAGTCAAAACAATTATTAAAAACGTTCCATAAAACACACAACAAATCCATTATTGTAGCAGAATGCCGGTGAATTCACGACAGCCCTACTACTTGTGGATCCGTTGGACTTATATGATCACAAATCTAGTACGAGATTAAGGAACAGTCTGGTGCTGAAATGAAACACATAGTGAACTATCTCGGATAACCAATACACGAAACACATTATTTGAAACGGATAGCGACCGCTCGTGATAAAAAATTTCGAAATCCATTTCAGTGCTACGGTTAGCTTGAGTGAGGAACTGAAGACATGTGAACAGGCCCCGACTACATACACACCATCACCACCAGGAAAACAACGAGTGCCATTTTCGGACTATTCCACTCGGTTTCACGGACATCAGATGTTGCTTGCTTTTGCCAGTCAAAGGTGTAATGTTTTTATAACCGTGTTATGTCATGTATGGGTAAAGTGAAACACTGAGTGGACTTGAAGTCCATACTCAGTTTGATCGATGGATTTCCACTGGTATCCGTACACAACAAGATTAAAGCAAGTGTACAGTGCGTTTCCTACTTAAGAATACGTTTTTCGTTCAAAAAATATCTTTCTACAATTAAATCCCCACCCCACCTCCAACATAACAGTTGAACACTCTGCTAGTGATCGGTTCAGTATATTTCCGTCCGGGAGCGGCATTTACCAAACCTAATGCGTCACGTTCATAACCGGCACACGACGCTATAAGATCTGTGGTTCAATTTGAACCACCGCTACTTTCTCGGTTAACTGCCCGATATTGCCCTAAACTACACAATAGCCGATCTCATGCCATCTTACAAGATCCCAAACAGACATTATCGGTTATCATCAACTAAAGGCATGAATCTGTGATCACGGGAATTCACTCATTCATTTTCTATGATCACAAAACTTGTAATAAAGCATAGGGTTGAACAACGACCACATCTACAAAACATGATATGAAATTTACACAAGTAGCTTCACTGTAAGGTAGATGAATATAACACCGGAAGGCTTACTTACTCGATCGTGAATCACTCGGAGGTAATCAACAAAAAAAAATATATACAAAAATCAAAAAGAGATCAAGGTGTTCAAAGAAAAGGTATTCTAGTTGATCCTTTGATTGGCAAGTAACATTTGGGAACAAATGTACTGAAAAGTTAACGCAACCAAACAGCGTTTGTTATTATATTTTTTTAAATATTGCACATATATAGTTGGTGAGTAACAGGCTCATTCATCCATCCATCTATTTTCATGAGACGACTAACCGAATAATAGACCGAACGGACCCACAAAGGTCAAAACACGGAAGTGCTTGTGGAATTGCGTGGGCCGTGACCGCCAAGCTGTTTGTCATGTACTACAGATATTCGTGCATGTGACTTTATCGATCGGCTGAACACCATTGACAACGCAAGATAGTCGCGAATAGTAAGGACATGTACTTTGTTATTACGAATGACGTGCATCGGATTTTGCATAAAAGCACAGGGTGGGCATGTGCGTGTGAACATTCAATGGTCCTGACAGTGGATGAGTTTCAATGTGGTCGAAGTCTGGCAGAATTGGTCGAACGTGTGTGTACCTATAGGTAACCATGGTGTCCATCTGTAGTGGATCGCTCAGCAAAACAATGGATACGAATATGAACCCGCCCAGAAAAAGACCGACAGTTTTTTGGTTTCACTGTGATTGTTTTCCTCATCAATTCATTATCATTCCCGATGCGTATCGATCAAAGAAAAGTGCCATTTCTAACCAATTAAATAACCGATAGATCTCATCTCAGAGTAAAAAACAAAACATAAAAGAACTGAAAAAACTGAAATACTGACAATAAAGCACGTATCAATCAAGGATAACGGCACTGTCTTCTCTCGGTCAGCAATCGGAAAAGTCAGTTCTTCACGAATGCGGTTGGCAGGCGTGAGCGTTTTGAGTGAGAGAAACTACATGCGATAGGAACGTTTGTGATAACCAACAAAGAGCACACCTGTTTCGTCCTTTTTGGGACTTGTCAGCAGTGCGTACATTGTGCCCTGTCAGGACTCAAACCGCGAACAGTCAAGTCGGGACTTCAAACCCTTACCCCTGAGGTACACGGTCGTCATCTTGTGCGAATGGCTCAATCAATTCTAGAGTAGCAAGCTTGGATTAGACCATTAGTTTGTTGAAAACTAGAAAAACTACGACCTGAGAAAACTTGCCTTCATGGTGTAGAACAGTCATAGTGTATGACGTTTATGATGGCGTCAGATTTGCGAAATACTTAATTTGAGCGAACATACGTTTACGGTAATTTCATTTGCTCAAGCCATTACAATTAAGAATCCAACGGAGTCAAAACCTGCAAGGGTTAGTAGTACGATGAGCAGGCCTTAACACTGGTATCAGGCCCAGAAAAGATGGGCTCAGGTATATCTTGTGGGTCCGATCGATGGGCCGTACTGAGCTGTTCTGTCTGTTGTTTTCCATATTTTGGCTCACGATTACCTTTACTCGTCGTGCGACTACCTTCAATAGACTAACAGTGTACTGAATGCAAACAATGTTGTCCCAACCACTTGATTTGCAGTCGATTTATACCGAAATCGTTGAAAACGACACCTGTGGCGCCGCCATGATATCCGACTGCCCCTTAACGGAAGGGTATATATCGCCACGGTTGGTAGTGTTCTACTTTACAGTTGCGAGACCCGGCCTCTTCGAGCGGAGGATGTTAATCAACTTTCCGTATTCAACCACCGATGCCTTCGAAGCATTGCTCGTGTCCAGTGGGAACATCGGGTGAGCAATGACGAGATCCAACGTCGTGTGTTGGGTGTCGATAGTTGTTCTTCAACGGAAGTAATCGTTCGACGCCGCCTCCCATGACTCAGTCATGTTTGGCGTATACCTCTCCGTGCTCTCTTTGCACATGTTGGGCAAGGTTGGAAGAACCACAGCGGCGATCAGATGGATTAATGGATATCTTTTACTCGCAAAGTCAAGGTCTCACAGCCATACAACAGAAGTGGACAAACGGTAGCACAATGTACACGACCTATCAAATACAGTGAAACGTCACATCTACACCAAAGGTGTTTCAGTCCGGCGTACGCTACTCAAGCCTTGATGCGCTACTGGTATCGGTCACACAACTACTTAAATAAGAAAAACAGCCCACCGTAACTAATTCCTAGACATTTATCTTCCAAGCGGTAGCAGATAACACCCAGTCTTGCAGCATCACTTAAAACTTTGAGGGTGTTAAGCATGATAGGCTAAAGCTTCGCACAATCCGATTACTTTCGAATCGTCGCGTAAACCGTTTTTATAATCCAAGTAGTCCCACACTGGAAAATAAGATTCATTATTTCACTTCACAGTATGGGCTCTCAGTAACCACGGCTGGGCAAAGCGTTACTCCTAAAACAACGATGTAGGTTCCCGATGGATGAAGATTTGTGAAATCAGAAAGGTGAAACACAAGATCATTCGACATAATTCATTAACGATTATTTGCTGATATCGGGATTGTGTTCTTCGACTTATTGCGTAAAAAAGGATTGTGCATCTATCTCAGTATATACGAACCTCCAGTCATGTTGTCTTCTCTCATTTCAATAAACGGTATTGCCACAAGACGGATCAGCAAATAACATTCGGCTCAAATTGTTGCAAACCCACCAGTTTCCTAAGTTGTTATCATATTCATCCACCTACGAGCTGTGAATTCTGAGATCCATCACGCTGAAAAACACAATTCCTTGGGGTGCGTCATATCAGTTGTCTACATTTGACTGACCAATGCGGATTGTGTCACGCAGGATGAAACAGCTACCCAGTGGTCAAGCAGGCAGTATACTTGTCTTACACCTGTGAGGTATCGGGTTCAATCCTCGATCAAATCGATGAGTTTGCAATGCTGATGGGACCCGTCAGGTTAAAAACAGTTCACAGTACATCCTAGCTTTTCATATCAAGTTTTGCATAGAGAAAGAAAGTGTGTACGAAATCGATTGCCCCATATCTGGCAAACCCACAGAACCTAGAAAGTGACTTCCTTTCGAATCTTGATACACATTGTGCATATTTTGATCATACAACCTAATGTATCTATTTTATCACGCACACACTTGTGTGGGAAACAGTAGACGGGCAGATAAATGTGGTCATGGAAACTGGTAACCTAAGCCCCGGGACCTGGAGTGGTGAACCACTTAAGGCACTCTAGGTTTGGCACCAAAAACGTTAGGTGGCTCTGGTGGAGCTCGAAATCGGACTATAACGTCCATACACGCTGGAGACAGCGATCAAACCACTGCGACACCACCACCATTGTGTGTACCTTACACTAAAATGTAAACATTTAAGCTTACAGAAACCAGGCCTAAGGAAAACAATGTACACTGTGGAACTAAACATTTGTTATCTTCGTGTCGTTCTCCTGTCAACCAACAACATTGACTTTGTGTGTCTGTATGAGTGTAACTGGGGCAAGAATGTCCACGAAAATATCTAAATGCCGTACGCAGACGGAAGGTTTAAATGGGAAATTAAAAAATCATTTAGAATTGGATGAGACATACTCGTTATCGTTCCTGAATCCAACGCTGTGTTTAAAGCCTTGTCCGAGTTGATAAATCCCGACTGAGCATCGATTAAACTGGTATTCAGATAAACGGAAGTGGTCGATTTCACAGGTTGCGGACTCGAACTCTTACGGACCAGGTCATGCCATGATCGGGACAGTTGTACCTTTTCCTTATCCAGTCTAGTCCGTGATTGCAGTGCTGATGGTGGTGGCGGCGGTGCTCGGCGCTTCTTACGGCATCTCAGATTGAAAATAGTCGATGGTGGAGTACGTGACTGACCACTCCAAGTGATATCCAATAACGAGCGCCGGTCTGTAGGCTTTGGTTTCTTCGAGGAGCAGTATAGAACAATGGTGAGGTTTAATGTACGAAGCGAACAAATTCGACTAACTGAAGTGTTACGTTATCCAGTTTCAACTGGTAAACAATCAAATATTGGTCTACAAAACACTGTGCACAATGGAAAAATAGAAATATTGGCAAGCGAAGTGAGAATAGGACGATCTAAATTCGGAAACTCGGGAGATCAAATTACATGGTTTCAATGAAAGAAAATTCAGAATAAGAGG